AATAAATAAACAAGCAAACAAACAAACCCAGTTACTACCCCCCCAGAAAAACCAAAACTGGTAGAAAGCATATACTTTAATAAAAAATACTGATTTAATTGGACTTCATCTAAATTAAAAACTTCTGTTCTTAAAAAGACACCAGTGCTCATTTCAGCAGCACATATACTAAAATTGAAACAATACAGAGAAGATCAGCACGGTCCCCGTGCAAGGATGACACACAAATTTGCGAAGTATTCCATATTTTAAAAAAAAGACATCACTAAGAAAATGGGAAGGCAAGCCATCGACTGAGAGAAAATATTCACAATACATATATGAAAGGATTCGTATCCAGATTAAAGGACTCCCAATAATCAACAGCAAAAAGAAAAATGATCCAATTTTTAAATGAGCAGAGACTTGAACAGATACTTCACAAAAGAAGATTTGTGAATGGCAAATAGATGCTTGAAAAAGGGCCTAGCATCCTTAATCAACAAGGACATTCAAATCAAAATAATGAGATACCACACGCTCCACAAAACAACATGAGAACGACTGAATTAAGTGTTGGCTAGAACAGAGTCATTGAAACTTTTTACATTCCCACACTGCTGATGGGAAATGAAATGAAAAGTTACGTTCATAATAAGACATGTACAAGAGCTTTATTTAAAATAAAAACTGGAAACCCAAATATTCATCTTTAGGAGAATCAATTAATAAACTGTAGGATATTCACACGATGGAATGCTACTTCAGTATTTTACTTTGGTATACTTCGGTAAATTTAAAATCAACTATTGATACATGCGATAATCTGGGTAAGTCTCCAAAATATTATGTTGAGTGAGAGAAGCCAGACACAAGGGAGCACATATTATATGATTCCACTATGTGAAAGTCAAAAGCAGACACAAAGAACCTATGGTAACAGAAATCAAGACAATGTTTTCCAGTGAGAGAGCAGATTGATGAAAGGGGACACACGGAACTTTGGGGGATGATGTAAATGTTCCATAGCTGGGTAAGTGTTAGTTCCCTGGCTATATTCATTTGTCAAAACCCATCCAGTTGTATACCAAAGATCTGTCAATTTCATTGTATTAAAAATTCACCTCAATTCTAGAAATAAAATAAACTGAAGAAATGAGAAAAACACATCCCAGTCTTGCAACCTAACCTGCTGATCTTAACTACTGTCACCTAAGACCCACCATAAGAGATTCGTCTATCAGTGTCTTTTTTTCCTGGGAAGAAAATGCAAAATCTCTTGAAAGAGATGATGCTTGACACTATTATATAACATTTATTCCTCAGTATGGATTCTTTCAGAGGCCAAGGCTCTCGTTACTGAAAAATTGGCCTCTGCACCTCAAAAAGCAAATTCAAACTCAGAGG